TTCAGGAACTCAATCAATGTCTTGAGGGTTGCGATGGCCGGAGAGTTCTCGTTACCCAACTCTTGCCGGTAGTACTGACCGATGGCTGCAATCAATCCATTCATTATCACCACAATTATCACATCGTGTCTTAAGTACAGAATCGGTGGTAAATACTTACACTCGTTATCCATGGATTCAATTGTAATTTGTTGGCAAAGACTCACAAATACTGTAAGTTTCAAAACACCAATACTTTCAATGTCTTGAATACCACACAAATAACACACGTTTTTGTGGCACTTCTTGTGAACCCCTTTCCGTTGAAATGAATTGGAAATGAAATGAATAAAAGTGAACATAATTTGTGTGCAAAAAGTGATAATAAATGAACGAAAATGTGATGAAATAAAAGCTTACGATTTGTTTACTATTTATGACTTCATTTGACCACAATTTGCATCACTTGTACCACTCATCTGCAGATCACAACCCTATTGATTGTCACCTCAATTGATCACTGGTTCACATCAAACATATAAAATGGTAAACAATTTATTTATAATTTTCAGGAACTCAATCAATGTCTTGAGGGTTGCGATGGCCGGAGAGTTCTCGTTACCCAACTCTTGCCGGTAGTACTGACCGATGGCTGCAATCAATCCATTCATTATCACCACAATTATCACATCGTATCTTTAGTACAGAATCGGTGGTAAATACTTACACTCGTTATCCATGGATTCAATTGTGATTTGTTGGCAAAGACTCACAAATACTGTAAGTTTCAAAACACCAATACTTTCAATGTCTTGAATACCACACAAATAACACACGTTTTTGTGGCACTTTTGTGAACCCCTTTCCATTGAAATGAATTGGAAATGAAATGAATAAAAGTGAACATAATTTGTGTGCAAAAAGTGATAATAAATGAACGAAAATGTGATGAAATTGCAGCTTACCATTTGTTTACCATTTGTTTACCATTTGTTTACTATTTATCTGAAGTAAACTGGTGTTAAACGTAGTGAACATGGTGAGTAGACGTCTAGTGTTGGGATAACTAACAGTGGAGTTAACTAGTGACCAAGTGTAGTTTGTATATTTTACCATTTGTTAAATAAATATTATACCACTTCTATCGATGGCAAATCTAATTGATATCTGTCTTAACGTGTGTTTTAGGCCGAGCGAAAAGCCGTCAATAAGTACTACCCGCCCGACTGGACCCCCGCCAAGGGCTCCATCAATAAATACCGGGGAAGCCATCCATTGCGGGACAGAGCGCGCAAACTGCATGAGGGGATACTCATCATCAGGTGTGCCATTATCACCACCACATTCATGCCTCTGATGTGCACTAATATTATAACTGTTTGAATGACTGTTTGATTGAATGGTTAGGTTTGAGATGCCGTACAATATTTGGTGCAATGGCTGTAATAATCACATCGGAATGAGTGTCCGCTTTAACGCCCAGAAGTCGAAGACAGGGATGTATTACTCGACGCCTATCTATAAGTTCCGAATGAAATGTCATTTGTGTGACAATCACTTCGAGATGCAAACGGATCCCAAGAATTTGGATTACGTTATATTGAATGGCGCCCGAAGACAGGAACTCCGATGGGATCCCAAAGAGAACGAACAGGTGGTCCCCGAAGACAAGGACGTGTCCAAGAAGTTGGCCACAGATTCCATGTTTAAACTCGAACACGAAGTCGAGGATCAGGCGAAGGCTAAGAGTGTGGCGCCAGTCATACAGGAGTTGGAAGTGTTTCAGAAGAGATGGAAAGACGACTATTCGTTCAATAGAGCCATTCGGCAGACATTCCGAGTAAATGACAACTGAATTATAAATATATGCGAAAATGATTTACTTTAAAATGAATTAATATTTCAAATTTATATATATTATAAAGACTAAGAAAAAGGAATTGAAAGGCATTTCAGACACCGATCGCTCACTACTGAAGAAGTCATCGCTTCCCTTGTCTATGAAGTTATTTCCCGAATCCAAAGACGATTCAAAGTTAGCACAACTTATAAAACTGGAGTCAACACAAAGTTAGTGTTTGCCTGATATACTAGAAATTAATTAGTCGTATGATATAATATGAATACAATATTAATTTGTATTGCTTTTTGTGATTATGAATAGCACTGGAGAGCAGACAGAAGGCTAAAAGAGAGACAATTTTGAAAAAATCTATTTTTGGTTGTGATTTGAGTTCAAAACCAAAAGCCAAAGAACTTATGGATAACTCGAAGATGTTTGACGCCAACAGTAGTTTCAATACAATAGAGAAGACAACAAATTCTGCAAATAAATTGTCTAAAGTTATTGACAACAAAAGCAAAGACAGCAATAAACAAACCATCAATTGTTTGGTAGCCTATAATAGCAGTGATTCCGACTAATGTGGTTTACTAACACTGTATGTAAAGTGTACATAATGTAAAGTTTAACACTTTAAATTTTTTATTTATTTAAATCTATTATTTTACAGTAAATAAATATTATAAAATATAATTATCATACAAATTGTTTGAAAGTACAGTACCGTAAAAGTGTATTGCGGTATAAAATGAATTAATTTTTATACTAAAGTTTCAATCGCGAGTTTCGTCACTTACCCGCGTGTTATCCTCGGTTACCAACGCTCGTTACTCACAAACTTACCCTTAACTTACGTTACAAACGCGGTTAGCAACTGAGAATTGTCATTTGTTTGTCATTTGTTCGACACTTTGTTTACCATTTTATGACAATATCTGTGATTAAGTGAATCACTTCTTGAGACACAATGTCTGTCCTCAATGCACGCCTCCGTTGACCACTCCATCGCCAGTGACACCGATATATGGCACAGAATTATGGATCAATTGATTGAACTGAAGGAATGGCAGCGAACGCAAGAGGAGGCCATCAAAAGACATGAAACCAAACAAATCTCTTCATTGAGTGAACAAAACGTCAAATTAAATGCTTTGACAAACACTTTGACCACAAGTTATGATAATCCAAGTGCTGGTCCATTACATCCACAGCCATCCCAACGACAACCAATGGACGACTCGTTGGAAGAGTTCAGAGCCGCTGAAGAGGAATGTCGTGACGCGAGTGATCACAGCATGAGTTTTGGCCACAAATTAGACAACTCTTCGTATTCGGAGAACTCTGCAGTTATTCCCGTTTAATTAAAAATATGATTTCAAAGTTAGCGCTCAAAGCAGTGAATGGGCGCACAATAGGAGCCAATGGTTGCGAGCAATGAGTGTTTGAATGGGAATTGAATGCAATGTTTGCGCCAATCGTTGACTCAATTGTCATTTGTTTCACACTTTGTTTACCATTTGATGACAATATCTGTGATTAAGTCAATCACTTCTTGAGACACAATGTCTGTCCTCAATGCACGCCTCCGTTAACCACTCCATCGCCAGTGACACCGATATATGGCACAGAATTATGGATCAATTGATTGAACTGAAGGAATGGCAGCGAACGCAAGAGGAGGCCATCAAAAGACATCAAACCAAACAAATCTCTTCATTGAGTGAACAAAACGTCAAATTAAATGCTTTGACAAACACTTTGACCACAAGTTATCATAATCCAAGCGTTGGTCCATCACATCCACAGCCATCCCAACGACAACCGATGGACGACTCGTTGGAAGAGTTCAGAGCCGCTGAAGAGGAATGTCGTGACGCGAGTGATCACAGCATGAGTTTTGGCCACAAATTAGACAACTCTTCGTATTCGGAGAACTCTGCAGTTATTCCCGGAATTGATGGTAAAGTTGTGAAGACTTTTGAAGATTTGTTGATTAAGCGGTTAAGTGGTGACAAAGTGGAGGAAATGGTGAAAACAAGTGTAGAAACAAAACCGAAGAAACCATTCCTCCGGAAAGGAGAAGGGATTAAGAGATTTGAACCAAAAACGAGTCGATCATCAAAAGACTCGTCCGATCAGAAGAAAAGGATTTGTTTGAAAACTAGTGAAACAACAGGTATTGGAAATACAGTGAAACCAAAAGTGTTTGAAAAACGGATCGGAAATAAGAGAAAAGACAATACAAAAGATGAAAAGTTTGTGAATCCAAAGACATTCAATCGGAAAGTGATTCCAATGACCACTAAAATAGACAAAAATGTGAAATCAGTGGTCGTCTCCAGAAATACTCCGATTGTTATCAATGAGTTGAACGAAAGTGAATCCGTTTTATTTGATTGTTTGCAACAAATCTGTGGAAACGTATCCCTTGACGACCACTCCATCGATGACCAGTTTAGAGACAAAGATGTCTATGAATTGCAAGAATTGCTCAAAAAGATTGAACTCAAGAAGAGTGGTATTCAGAGGCAACTAAGCGGTGGAAATATAGGATATTCTGATGTCAATGACAGACAATCTGGTGATAAAGAACGCCAACAAAGACATCAATTGGTGACCAAAAATACCGGTAATAAAGACGCGAAGAAAAAAGTTCATTGGAGTCCACAAGGCATGAGTAGTGGCGGTGAGAGTGAGGATGAAATGTGTGACTTCTCTTCACCCAAATCTGGTGCGTATTCTTCGTCATTAAAACGACAGATTAATGAACTCGAAGAGCGTTTGTCTCATCTGAAAACCACTAAAAAGTGTGACAATCTTTTGGATAATAAAAGTGTTGACAAACAGTCGTCAGATGTGTTGAATCCATTAAACAGTGAACTCTTGAAACTGAGGCAACAAATGGAGAAATTAAACACAAGAATAGTTAACATTGAATCCAAATCTTATGATTTAATTACACCACAAATGAAAGAGATTTCTAACAATAAGCAAAAAGTGAATATATTTTCCAAACAAAACGGCAGAACTTTACCGAAAACAAGAACTTCGGCGACGAATGGACTCAATATATCTGTGAATGAGAGCCCAAATGATACGACAATTAATTTTCCAAACGGCGATAAAATGACTGTTTCTAAGGACAACACAATTGTATTTATTATTTAATTCAATGAAATTGACATCAAATTAAATATTTAATTTATGTTTTAGTTTTATATCTTTGCTAACGGCGCCACTCAGACTACATATGCTGATGGACTCAAAATTATAAATTTTCCAAAGTATTCACTGTAAAGATGTTTTAAATGAGCGTTTTATGAATGCATTTGTTTGGACTACTTTAGCGGTCAATCGGAAAAAGTGCACAAAAATGGTGTAAAACACATCACTTATGCCAATGGTTTGCAACGAATCATAAACCCTGACGGCTCTGAAGAAGTGCTTATGACTGACGGAACCGTTTGGCGAATACATGCGGACGGCTCTGAAGTGTTAGAGTTCGCCAACGGAGACCGAGAGATCAGAACTGATAACTATAAGGTATATAACTAACCATTGTTTGCCACTATTAGTTGTATTCAATTCATGATTAAATGTTTTATAATTAAAGCGAAGGGAGTATTCAAACGGAAACATAAAAACTCTGTATTCGGACGGAACTGAAGAGACGCGTTATATCTGTGGAAGACTTCGGATTAAGGATAGGTTCGGCAATTTGATGGTCGACTCCATGATCAGACATTTAGATCAACACATTTGAGATAATATTTTATTTATTTTTCACGATTTCAAAGGCAAATACTAATTAAATTAAACCATTTATATTTTTAAAACTGTAAATTTGATTCAAACAATGAACTGATGATTAGATTCATCCACCGATTGATTGAATGATAATAAATGAAATGCTTATAAATGTTGTTTTCTTTTGAGTCGACTATTTGCTAGTGAAGAGGGCGACCATTCTTTCAGATAAAGTGTCTCTTTAGACGAATCACTCAAATCTATTCCATAGGCTTTTGGTCCGAATTTAAACAAAACCTCTGCAGCTGTCAAATGGAATAGCTTTCGGAGGGCATCCAAGTCTGCCATTTGTTTGGCGATTTCGATGGTCTCTCCTGGCGCTGAGTATTGCATTCAAATAGTGATCAATGAATACACTTATGAATATAGGGGCACAAGAATGTGGTGACACTCACCCGAACCAATCAACTGTTTGTCCACATAAATGCCGACCACATAACAAGCCTCAATGGTTCCGACAGCGCTTTCCCTCAGGAGTCTATACTCGGGTGCGGCCAGTCGTTCGCGACTTAAGATGTTATTGAGTTGGAACCGTGGGTTCGGTATATCCCATATTTCCAACACGTCTTTGTCCACTAGATATGTGACAACAAAATCTAACACAAAATTTTGAGCCCTTTTTTCGTTGTTGTCTTCGGCGGCCGCACTATACTAATTAAATTAAACCATTTATATTTTTAAAACTGTAAATTTGATTCAAACAATGAACTGATGATTAGATTCATCCACCGATTGATTGAATGATAATAAATGAAATGCTTATAAATGTTGTTTTTTTTTGAGTCGACTATTTGCTAGTGAAGAGGGCGACCATTCTTTCAGATAAAGTGTCTCTTTAGACGAATCACTCAAATCTAATCCATAGGCTTTTGGTCCGAATTTAAACAAAACCTCCGCAGCTGTCAAATGGAATAGCTTTCGGAGGGCATCCAAGTCTGCCATTTGTTTGGCGATTTCGATGGTCTCTCCCGGCGCTGAGTATTGCATTCAAATAGTGATCAATGAATACACTTATGAATATAGGGGCACAAGAATGTGGTGACACTCACCCGAACCAATCAACTCTTTGTCCACATAAATGCCGACCACATAACAGGCCTCAATGCATCCGACAGCGCTTTCCCTCAGGAGTCTATACTCGGGTGCGGCCAGTCGTTCGCGACTCAAGATGTTGTTGAGTTGGAACCGTGGGTTCGGTATATCCCATATTTCCAACACGTCTTTGTCCACTAGATATGTGACAACAAAATCTAACACAAAATTTTGAGCCCTTTTTTCGTTGTTGTCTTCGGCGGCCGCACCGATCAGTGCCTCAACTGTTTTCGCTAAAGTCGACTCTTTCGGCGGTAATTCCTGTCATTTTCGATACAATTGTATTAAAGTTTTCATTTCAATGATTTGATGAATTGTTTGTTCATTACTTCACACAAAACCAAATCAATACAACCGATCCATTTGGCGACGTCTGACAGAACCTCTTCAGACATCAGGTATTCGTGAAGTGCACTAAGAATTTAAAATTTCTATTAATATCTTAATAACAGTTTAACAGAATATCATCTCAAATACCAAATGCCGTCCTCTGGAAGTCGTGGCAAAAAGTGTCTTAAATATGATTTGATAAAAGACTCGCTAATGTTTCGCCCGATTTGTGCAAAATCTTCGTTATCTTTGATATTAATGGAGACATCTTTTAAGCCGAGTTGTTCTCGTTGTCGCACCTCTTTGTCCACAAATGACTTGTTAGTGAACGCTATCTTCAGACTGTCTTCCGTCCACTTCTCGTGAAGTCTTTGATTGAAAGCAAACAGTTCTGCCCTTAAGTTCCTATCCATTCAAATGAGTGGCCATTAAGACAACCATTAGTGATATGACCGTAAAGAGTGGGTAAAGACATACCATTCCTGTCGTGCAGACCGCGCCTCAACAGGTCTTTTGACGGCATCGAAGAGTCTGCCCCTCGAGTACATGAGTCTCAGTGTCTTCTCCTGCCATAACTTCAATGACCGACAGATCACCGCATTTGGTCCCAACTGACTGTTTGCTGGACTCAATAGTTTCCGCAATGCATACGAGTGTCGGACGAAACGATTGGTTAAAACAATTGAATTCATAATTGACGCGAAGAGTGAAGACAACGGCAAAGAGACCACACTTTCGATGACTTCACTGCAGTTTGTCTTCAATTCATGTTTTGTTTGTGTTTTTCACTCAAAACACATGTTTTGCTCGCATTTCACACAATATCTGTCGTACTATTGACTCAATACTGTTGTCAACACTCTCTGAGTGAGCCCTCACTCCCACCACATCTCACACTCTCTTGAGTTCGCGTTATCTTTAAAAGTCTTGTAAATTACAGAAATACATGTCTCACAACTGATCCCAAGGCACACCACATCCTTCACATGACTTGCAATACAATTACAATCGACTCCAAGAAAATCCGTTTCAATCGACACAACGATTTGGTTATTATTGACGAAAAAGTTTTTGCAGATTTAGGTAAATATTGTCTCTTCAGACCATTGAAACCATTTGTGGATTCATTTATTTGAAATTATCTGAAAGTGTGCGCCGAAGACACTAATCCAAGCGATGAATTGGTGGACGAGTTGTGTTTGAAACTAAAGTGTAAACGATTGGCCGTCAAAAGCAAGATCTCTTCGGATGACTTCCGCACACCTAATGTCCGACTCATTAGAGGACATGACTTATGGGTCACTCATAAGGACAACGGAATTATGTATGAATTGAATCGATGGCTACCAATGAGATAATGTGTTAAAATTGATGCCCAAATCAGTTACAGTTTGGATGCGAGTAAATGTATGTTTAGTTTCGGTAATATTCACGAGAAGTTGAGAGTCTCTCGACTCGACTGCACCGATGAGACAGTTGTGGATCTGTTCGCAGGAATCGGTTATTTCAGTCTTGTATTTGCCGTTCACTGCAACCCACGAGTGGTTCACTCCTGCGAATGGAATCCCAATGCCGTCGAAGCCCTCCACAAGAATCTGCAACTAAACCGTGTGTCCCATAAATGTGTGGTTCATTTCGGGGACAATCGCGAGGTGTGTCCTATAGGTGTGGCCGATCGCGTCTATATGGGACTCATCCCCACCTCATTGGACAGCCTTCGGGTGGCCTGTCGTGCCATTCATATAAAGAGTTCAAAACGGATTCTACATATTCATGAAAATGTGTCACATTTTGGATCCAAAACTAAAGAAGATATCAATAAAGTGTGGACCGATTGGGCTCTGGATTTGTGTCTCAAAGTGAATCAAATGATGTCATCCATACACCCGAACACCAAATGGATGGTTGAAGTCTTGCAAATCAATAAAGTGAAGTCCTATGCGCCACATATCGATCATTTAGTGGCAGATATAAAGTGCAATTTACATGATTCTTACGATTAGTCTATTTATTTTTGTAATCATTTTATATTCAATTTCGTATTAAAATGTTTATTTTATATAAAAATAAAACCGATTCCAAACTTATGTATTGAATACCAGAAAAGATTTTTAATGTATTGAATGAAGCGATGATTGGTCTATTCATTGACTGTCTGAGCGCTGTCTCTGTAATAATCGATAATATTTTGTTGATATTAAACCATATTATTCAGAGTTACCATAAGTCATGAAAAAATGCTTTTTATATTTTTAACATTAGTTTAGTTTTAAGTAAACTTTTGAATACAGTATTTATTATTATATTTCTATTTATTAAATATGATAAGAATTTAAAGAATATTTTGTATTAAAAGTATTAGTGAGTAATGAATAAAAGAATAGTGGGTTAGGGGTTAGGGGTTAGGTGGCAAACAATGGGCAGTTGTATTGGCCGATGTTTTTGTGAAGTGGGAAAATGTTTTTGCTGTGATTGTGTCATATTTGGGACCAATTTAAGAGATTCCATCGCTAGAAGACACAGACGTATGAAGACATCGAAGTCTTTCTCATTGAGACGACAGAGTTCTTCGACAACCATTGAGTTCGAGAATCTTATGTTTGAATTCAATCTTCCCGTAAGTATTTGTCTCACACTCTCTCCATATTTTGTTTGAATTCAAACAGTTTTTGCAAAATTTAATGTTCAATGTCTTAATTGAAATGGATTTATGGAAATGGATGTCAATTTATGAAGGAATCGTCCACTTCTATGATCCAAATGCAACCGACAAAAAGGTATTAACATATCCATCTATCCATACATTTTATTGCAGTATATTTTGAGCACATTTTATAGATTCTGTAAAAATCTCTTTTAAAGGGAATTTAAAGTTCATTTACTTTTGTGACATCTTTTCAATCATTGAGTAGTTCTCGTATTCCCTATGAATGGGATTTGAATATAAATTACTGACAAATAGTGTACAAAATTAGTGACAATTCGTGATAAGTTCCAATAAATTATTGAAAAGTCAGACGAAAACATCTACTCCTAAACCTCAACCTTCACTCTAAATGCGAGTTTAACGACAAGAATGCAGTTAATTCTGTAGCCCTTATGTAAATGTTTGCCAAAATATCTTTGAAAGTCGAGTCTATTTTTTGGACCTCATTATGGGATAAACTATTTTTAAAGAATATTCACATAATTTTAAGGCTTTTTCTATAATTTTATTTTCTATGCCTTTTGTAATGAATTCTTTCCAACTTTTAATTAAAGTGTCAGTTCTTGGCTCGCGTTGAAAGACGACTCCAAACAAAAAGTAAGGCAAACATTGGATTATAATAAAAGAGTTAAAATAATAGAGAATTTATTTCGAAATAATTTTAATTTTGTTTTTCAACTCCAACTTATTTCCAGGAATTCAAAGTCCATAACATGTGTCCCTATTATGCGAATAGGAATCCAATATCAATGTCTTTCAATGCCTTAAATTCTTCGGTTCAGATGACAACTGATGAGATATCGTGTGAATTACCGATCATTGAGTCACTCGTCTCACGATCTTCTCTAATGAGAAGTAAAACCAATTCTCCAGACTTGAGGGATAAGACGTCTTTAGGGGGCTCTTCATCGCAGGGAGAGCTTCAGTGGGAGAACGAGATTATCATCGATGAGTTCAATAGTGGAGAACCTAATGATCCACAAGAACTGGAATGGGATCACTTCGATGCAGATAATTATGCCCTCATTAATGAGACGGAACAACTGATTCAAGAAATTGAACAATTGTCTCGATCATCGTTAAGTCATTTGCCGTAACAATACTTCACTCAATCTCTCCTTTTATCCATTTGTAATCATTTTTATATAAAAACATTTCTTATATTACTTTATAAATCTATTTATTATCAAATAAAACATTGAAGATATAAATAATTAAATTGTGTTTTTATTATTTCAAGGCATCT